TAGCTGTGTTGTGTATTTGTCATCACCGATGAGTCACCGGAAGGCTGGATCAGATGGTGCAGCGCTAACGTGCAAAGGCAACTTTCTAGTGAACACAGGAACAGTGTCTGCTGTGAACCCAGCGTGACAATAGTATGGTTTTAACATGTATCCTATGGAGGCTGACGCTTTGCCCGCGTGACACCCTATGCCGACTGCATGCCTCCCCTCAGGCCTGTGCGGAGGTGCTTGGCCTGCCCGCTCTCAGGGCCCCTGGGCATAGCTATAGGGCCTACATGGGACGGGGCTGGGGCCTGCCCGCTCTTCCCTGGGCAGCTTGTGTCTGCGGTCTTGCCGGCCAGCATGGCATGCTAGTGTTGGGGTTATCCTTTTTTGTCAGTAGGGAACCTTTGATCAAGCTTTGCCAGAGGGAAGCGGACTGAGGGATCTCGTCCTGCGGGCCCCCAGTCGGCCGAAGCATGCCTGAAGGAGGTTTCGTGGAGAGCAGCCATTCGGCCCGGGAGGGTGTGCTGTGGCTGGGCCCTGCTCCTCCCGGGGAGACAGTGCTTCTGCAGCCCGTGCAGGCGGGTGGGCGGGCACTTCTCCCGCGCAGTGTGGCTGCCTGGGAGCCAGCTGAGTCGGCCTCTCCCAGGAGCGCAGGAGGGTGCCGCGTGGCAGGGTGGCAGCGTTTGCTTTGCCCTCAGGAGGCAACTGTAGCTGGAGCCCCCCTTTACTGCCTTGCCAGCCTGTTCCTGGTCACTGCGGGCTTAGCTCAGGCCTGGCCCTCTGCCCTGTCCCTGCGTTTCTTGTTCCCGAGCCTGTGGAAGGCACCTCGGCATCGGAGTAGACCTTTCTTTCTCTTTTGTGCTTTTTTTTTTTAATAAGATTTATTTATTTATTTATTTATTTATTTATGATACAGAATTGAGGTACAGGCCAGAGGTGTGGCAGGTGAGAGGACTCACCAGAGACATAGCGAGGGGCAGAACAGGCAGACAAAATGCACTGCTGAGGGGAGCAGCGGGCGGGTCAGGAGAGGTCTGCCACGCCATGTGGTCACCTCTCTGCTGCAGTGGCTGCTCTTTAACCCATGTCCCACCAGGGGGGGCCTATCATAGTTTTTTTTTTGCAAACAAAAATTACAAAAATCTCACCAGTTGAAATAACGAAACAATTTTTAGCCTCCGGATGCCCAAAATGCCCAAGAGGGAAAAGCCACGCCTGATCATACAGGACACCACCTGCAGCTGCTGTGGTCACCGCTCTTGGGCCGGGACAGCTCAATGACTCTTGGGCGGCTCTGCCCGGAGCTGCTGTGCCTGGCACAGTCGTGTCGCTGGGCCCAAGGTGGTAGGGTGGGCGTCACTGTGGTCTGGAGACCTGAGGCCCAGAGCTGGGGGCGCCGAGCCTTGCTGGCGCGTGGTGCTGCCAGCCCCCAGCCCAGCCGCTCTGCAGCGCTTGCAAGGCCACACTGCTGTGGGCGTGAGCCGGGCTCCAGGTGTGGGAGCTGCCGGTGGGGGCGGAGGAGGCCGGGAAGCAGGTCTCTTGACTGGGACCTGACAGGAGGCGTGACCCATTGCGTGGAGCCTCACAGGCCGCGTCGGGAGGAGACTGGCATCTTCATGGGGCTGGCATGCAGGTGGTCTGGGGAGTGCAAGGCTGGGCGGGAGCCCACGGGGGTGGGGGGGGGCGAGAGGCTGGGCAGTGACCGGGCCCTTGGGTGGCCAACAGCCTGTAGCAGAGACAGGGCGTAGAGGGGCCTGGGAGGATGGTGCAGCGTGGACTGCGGCGTCGTGAGTGGCCCTGTGAGGACGCAGTCTCACAGTCTCGCAGTCTCCTGGGCGGTGCCAGCCTGCCCCGCTCAGCCTTGAGCGCCAGGCCTGGCGCCACCATTCACGGGTTCTCTGACCTTGGATGAAGCTGCTACACCCTCTGTTCCTGTCTCTAAACTGAGGGTGATGCAGTGACCTGTGGGTGCACCAGGCGGACCCTAAGGCCCTGCAGAAGAGCTGCCTGCACTGGGAAACGGCTGCTGTTCACGCCCAGCCCTCTGCCCACCGTTGCCATCTCTACCCTGGTCAGATCCACGTGGCCTCTAACTGGCCTTGTGACGCGCGAAGGCGGGAGGCTTTTATGTGTCTGCAGCCCCACGCCCGCCCGCTCCAGAACCTGCCCTGTGCTTGTTGCGGCCACACCTGCTGTTGTGGCTGCCCTGCGGGGGCTGCCCTTGGCCCATGGCCGCAGCTGTGGCGCTGGGCACTCCGCTGGCTGAGCGCCGGGTGTGCTGTGACTGTACTCAATGAAAGAAGTAAAAAGTAGTCTGGACCCCACTGTGGAGAGGTCGGGGGGTGTGGCGGGGCATGTGGGGGCACGGCACGATCAGAAGCCAGAGAGGCAGTCAGGATTGTAGGATTGAGGCCTCCAGTGGGGGCCAGGAGGGGCAGCCTGTGGGTGAGGGAGCACGCTTAGACACAGGCGGCCGCCGACCCCTCCCCGACTTGCACCGCAGGAGAGAAGGATCAGCTTGGCATTCCCGGTGGCCCCGGGGTCAGTCTCAGGCCTGAGTGTGACCCTCAGGGTGCAGCAGACCTGCTCCCCTCAACAGTGGATCTCAGTGGATCCGCCTGCTCTGCTCCCCCATCTCTGGCCTGCACCCCAGTTCTTCTATGCATAAATATAAATAAATCTAAAAACATAAATCCAGTCAGTAAAAGGTGAAGACGGAGCTGACGACGTGAGTGTGCGAGTGCCTGCGTGTGGGCGTGCGCCTGTGCCCCTGAGAGTGGGTGGGGGGAGGGGGGCTGAGGCCGCGGCCCGCGTGGCATTCCTGCGGCTGTGGGAAGGGAAGGGAGAGGTCTCCCACCCCGGCTGCCAGGCGGTTTCTACACAGGGTAGAAGGAAGAGGGTCGGAGGCAGGGTAGGGCTTTAGGTGAGGATGCCGGGCCCTGCTGGGTGCTGTGTCCCTGAGACGCGCTGGGCAGGAGGTGGGCCGGAGGCCAGCCCCGGGCGCCCCATGTGCTCAGAGCACTTGATGCGACCTGAGAGAGGCGGGGCCGTGCGGGGCCGCCATTTTCCTGGAGATGTGCACATGCGACCGCCCGACCGCCTCGGGTCTGCGTCTCCCGGAGAATTCATGGGTTCAGCAGCTGGCCTCACCACCACCCACCTCCCATCCTCTCAAACTGAAGTTACCGTTTGCAGGCCGGTAAGCGGAGTTGCGGAGCGCGTGGTGTCGGTGACGGTGACGTGGTTGCTGGAGCCAGCGAGGAGGCTGTCAGGGCAGTCGCGGGGGGAAGGGTTGGGGCGGGCAGGCCGGCTGCCTGTCGCGAGTCCAGCAGTGGGCAGCGGCCCTCTCTAGCACCTCCCTTCCCCTTTGCTCTGTGCGGCCTCACCTGCTGCATGAGACACGGCCCCAGGGGGCAGCGGGGGGACAGCACCCGGCTGGACAGTGCGGGCAGACGCTTCCAGCGCTGGCTGTGGGCCGGGCGGGGGTGGGCAGCCTGGCCTCGCCAGCACCCGAGAGCGAGAGAGCAGTCACTGCCTGTGGGCGGCGCCAGGAGGTAGTTAAGGTTCCACACAGGCCTGAGTCGCCAGAAGAGGGAGTGAGGGCAGAGCGCATGGGGCCTGCCGTGCAGAGCGCGTCCCACACGCAGGTCTCCGCCGGCTCGCCCGGCCACGCTCTGTGGCCCTGGCACAGGCGGCACGTGGACAGCGCTGGGAGGCCCCGGTTTGGGCCTGGTGAACCGCAGCCCCTGAGACGTGCTGCTCGAAGCCCTTCCGCGTGGCAGTGGCTGGGGTCTCGCTACAGGCAGTGGCCCGGGCAGTGGCACGTTGCTGGGTTGCTGCCCGCTCGTTGGCGCAGCGGTGCCGTCTGCAGTCGGCCGTGGGCTGCGTGGAGGTCACACACGGCCCACAGGAGAGCTTGGTGCATTCTGGGAAGCAGGCCCAAGTGCGGTGTTGGCCGGACACCAGTGCCCCGGTGAATGCGGCCTTAGTGTGTGGGAAGGAGAGAGGCGCGCCAGGGCTGCACACAGTGTCCGTCTGGAGAGGCTCTGTCCGCTGGCGCTTCAAGACGGCCACAGAGGCAGCCCTGCCTCTGAAGTAATCAGGTAATGACTGAAAAGGAGGAAAAGCCTTCGGGCTGGCGAGGCGCTGGGGCGCAGGGTCGCATCTCGACCGTCGGGAGCACGGATCCAGCGGCCGGCGCCTGGCTGGACGGAGGGGCCACTCCAGCCCACCGTCACGCGTCCAGCCACGTGACCCGCCGCACCCCATGGCTGGTGCCTGCCGGGCACTGTGCTGGTTCTGTGCTTCACCGTAAACGGGCACACGGCCTTGGCACATGTGTCGGTGGCGGCTGCTTGCCTCGTTCCTGCTGGAGCAAAGCGCCAGGCGGCGGCCGGTGCCGGGTTTGCTCTCCCACAGCTGCTGAGCGCACCACGCAAAGGCGTGGATTTTGGTTTGTTCTTTTGGCCTGATGTTTCAAATTGCCTGTGGCCCTGGTCTCTGGGACTGCGCTGCTGTGGGGGAACAAGGCCGCTTTTCTAGGACCCTCACCTTAGGGCCCCGCGCCGGGCATGTAAGGAGCCCTCACGTCCTGCCGCCTTCTTGCCGCCGCGCCCGTTCTCTTCCCCATTCAGAGTGGTGTCACGTGTGGTTCCGGTCATACCCGGTTGTGGCGTGGCTTAGTTTACCTTTCCAGAGCCCACGGATGTGGCCGCCCGCCTGCTGGGATGCCGAGGGCCCAGCGTCTGTCTCGTGATGTGATTCTGCCATGGTTTTGTTTTCTGGCTCTCTCTGTGGCTTGATTTTAGTTAATTTCTGTAATTTTAAACGTCCTCCGGACTTCCCTAACCTTTTCAGTGACCAAAATTACTGTCAGGCGTACAGTAAGAGGGAGGGAACCAGATGCCAGAGCTGCAAGCTGGCCTGCTGCCAGGCCTGCCCCCTCCTTAACTCAGTAAACAGTGTCACGAGGTCAAGGCTGCAAGGGACGGGAGCTGGGACGGGAATGGAGACGTGTCAGCCTGGGCTTTGTCACTGGTAAGACTGTTCTAGCTCTGTTAGACTGTCTCCTTCCCTTGGGGGCTGGGTGGTGGCCAGGTGTAGCCCTCCGGCCACCCTCCATGGACTCTGAGCTGGCCTGACCCCTGGCCTCTGTGTTAGCCTGAAGCTGCCTCTCGGCACATGCCTGCTCATTGAGTGAGACACATTGGTAAAGATGATGTTCTAAATGGCCACGCAGAGGGCCTCCTGGGGGTTCAGGGGCCAGTCTCAGCACTATGTTGTTGTCCCAGGCCCTGCGGCCTGAGTCTGATTCCCGCCAGGAAGTGACCACAGGGCGCAGCAGACCTCCCCTGTCTCCCCACTGCTCCCTCAGCAGTGGGTTTCAGTGGCTCCGCCTGTTCTGCTCCCCACTCAGTCTGTGGGGAGACCTCTCACCCGCCCTGCGCACTTCTGGCCTGCAGCCCAGCTCTTGTGTGCAAAAAAATAAACCTTTAAAAAAAAAAAACAAAAGAACTGGGGTACAGGCCAGAGGTGCGGGGGGTGGGTGAGAGCATTCCCCAGAGACAGAGTGGGGAGCAGAGCAGGCCGACTGATGGAAATACAGTGCTGAGGGGAGCAGCAGGGGAGTGAAGGGGTCTGCTGCCCCCTGTGGTCACTCCCTGGCCTGGGCGGGGGTGAACGTGTGCTGCAGTGGCTGCTGACAGCTTCGAGGTGCTGGCTTTGACCTGTTGCACCCTGAGGGAGGGCCTGGTATCTCAGTTTATGTGCATAATAAATAGATCTTTAAAGACAAAAAAAACAACTACCAGAAAATATTTTTTCTCTTCTTGCAAACAACTTCACGGGGTTTAGCGATGGCCTGTTGGGGCCCATCCCACTGGGGAGCAGCGGGGGCACAAGGCTGTGCCCCACAGGGCTGCGTAGTGGGTGCTCTGGCTCGCGCAGGTGACCGTTACCTTAGGGAACAGTCTTTATCTTGGGTTAGAATGTGGGTCTTTGTGAGAACATTCTGAGTAGCACCCAGTAGTGAGTGCACTGCTGAGTTGGAAGATGTTTGGCTGCAGGAAGGAGAGGGAGGAACCCCGGCCCCTCTCTCCTCTGCCGCGTGGAAACAGCCAGCCAGAGCGCCAGCCCCT